TTTTTTCTAATAAAATATAAAATATTTTCATTTCTTACTATTTTCTGAATTCAAGGAAAACAGTCGTTTGCTAATATAATTTTTGATTTTAAATGAATGCCCACATTATCACATAGTAAGGTGCTCCTTTATTTTTAATGAGAAATGAAGGCATAAATTTGAAAAAAAATCGAAATTTAACCCTTTAAATGCATTTATTTTCTTTGAATAATTGATTACAAATAATTGATCCGGTGACCATTGTAAATGAAGATTGCTAAAGAATAAAGAATAAGTAATACTTTCGTTAACCTAATTTATACGACTTATTTTATTTTTAGTTATTCTAAAAAAAAGAAATATTTTTTATTTTAAAATGTTCGATTTGCTCTTAATGAAACACTTCATACTCATACAAATATTTTTAACTTATTTAGACCATATATTTTAAAAGTTTTTTTTTCTCTTTATACATCACATAAATTAAAACAGAAAGAGAGTAATATAAATTGGGAATTCAAGAATAGGAATAATGTCATTTTTTAAAATTCAAAATTCATTTAATAAATCACTAATTGATGAAAACATTTGTTTGGTTCAATATTTCAAAACGTGTACTCATTACCTTTCACTATCTTCTCAACAAAGACAAAAACATAAGTCATTATCAAATGTTGAACTTTACTTCCCCTTTTGTTTTCTTTTAGACTTGAATAAAAACGTGTTTTAACTAGTGGCCTCCCTCGCGGACGCACTATTTGGATTAAATCTAAAAATTAAATCATATCAAAATAAATTTTAATTTGAATTGGTTTTTTGAATTCTTGGTCTAATTTTCAATTTGTAATTTTCTTTGTTTGATTTTCTGGTTTGATTTTGAATTTAGAAAATAAAAATAAAATCGAAAAAATCGGATTTATATATATATATATATTTATATATATATATATATATATTAATTTTTTTAAAAAAAAATTACAAAGATAACTTTGTTATGTTTGTAATTATTGATATAACCGATTAACCACACCGAATAAACCCAAACCAAAAAGAGAAAAACCAAGCCAAACCAAATTTATTTTGATTCGAATTGAATTACACTTTTTCAAAACCAAAAATCAAAACCCAAACCAATAAATATAAATCTAAACGGAAAAACCAAATACATCAGGAAATTGAGATAACAACAAAAATATGTTCTATTCCCTTATTTACTTTCAATTGTGTATGTTATGACATTTTCTTTAATCGGTATGGTAAAAAAAGTGATATATCTTTATATTAAGTAGTAATAATTTATTTAATATATCTACTTATGTTTGATAAAATTATTTATAGTCATATAACTATTAAAAAAATTCTTAAATTTTGTATCACATCATTTGAGACAGGAGTATATCATTATTTAATAGACACTTCCAAGCTGTGGCTGATATTTTTCCTTTTCTGATAGATTGGTTGAACAGTTTAATTTATAGCAATGATTAAATTGCCCCATCAGAATGATAAGGAAAAGGCTTGCATAGTTGAAATTATTTAATATATATAAATTGAGTTTTTTATATATATATATATATATATATATATATATA